CACTAATGCTTCAATTGTGCGGAGGGCTGCTCTCAGAGTCAGGAGATCTGGCTTTGACAGCAAGCTCCAGAAGGTGCCACCTGGAAGACCTCAGGCAGTGCCTTCAACTTCCCCGGGTTCAGGTCCCTCGTCTGTTAAATAGAGGTAATAAAACTCACATGATTGTTGGGAGCAAAGTGCCTTGGCACACTTCCTGTGATATATAAATGTGACTGATTACTATGTTATTATCTTCGTAGACTTAAATGCAAAAGGAAAAAAAATGAAATATTCTTAGGTAAAGGCAAAAATAAAGGGGTGCCTTTTTTGTCTGGTCAAACCAGCCTGCTAACTGTGTCAATATGCTTTGTAAACATACAGGAAGTTTCTTCTGCTTGGAAATACTGTTTTTGCACAAACCGAACTGATGGCAACCAAGATTAGAAGGAAAACAGAAAGATGGGAAGCAATTTTTTACAGTCAGTGTTTCTGATAAAGACCTTATTTCTCAAATATATGGAGAACTGAGTCAAATTTATGAGAATACAAGTCATCCACCAAATGATGAATGGTCAAAGGATATGAACGGGTAGTTTTCAGATGAAGAAATTAAAACTATCTATAGTCATATGAAAAAATGTTCCAAATCACTACTGATTAGAGAAATAACTCTGAGGTACCACCTCATACCTATCAGATTGACTAATATAACAGAAAAGGAAGATGTGGGGAAATTGGGACACTAATGCATTGTTGGTAGAATTGTGAACTGATCCAACCATTCGGGAGAACAATTTGGAACTACGCCCAAAGGGCTATAAAATTGTGCATACCTTTTGACCCAGCAATAACACTTCTAGTTCTGCATCCCAAAGAGATCACAAAAAAGGGAAAAGGACCCATATGCGCAAAAATATTCATAGCAGCTCTTTTTGTGGTGGCAAAGAATTGGAAATTGAGGGAATACCCTTCAATAGGGGAATGGCTGAACAAGTTGTGGTGTATGAATGTAATAGACTACTATTGTGCTATAACAGATGATGAGCAGGTAGGCTTCAGAAAAACCTGGAAAGACTTACATGAATTGATGCTGAGTGAAGTGAGCAAAACTAGGAGAATATTGTACACAGTAACAGTAACATTGTGTGATGATCAACTATGACTGACTTAGCTCCTCTCAGCAATACAATGATCCAAGACAAGTCCAAAAGACTCATGATGGAAAATGTTATTCACAACCAGAGAAAGAATTCTGGAGTCTGAATGCTGATCGAAGCATATTATTTTCACTTTTGTTTTTGTTTTTGTTTTTGTGGCTTTTCCCTCTTGTTCTGTTTCTTCTTTCTCAACATGACTAATGTTGAAATATGTTTCCATGATTGCACATGTATAACCTATATCAGATTACTTGCAGTCTTGGGGAGTGGGGAGAAAAGAGGGAGAAAAATTTGGAACTCAAAATCTTATAAAAATGAATGTTGAAAATTATCTTTACATGCAATTGGAAAAAATAAAATACTATTTACAAAAAAAAAGAAAAACTTTGTATGATTTTGCATGTATGTAAGTAGACAGATACACTTTGTATCTGCTTCTCTATTTCCATGTTGCATCTCCAATGTAGAAGATAAACTCTGCAATAAGTACTGTTTGTTTTTAGGAACGCAGTGCCTGGCACCCAGAGTGCTTCAGGAGGCAGCCTAGCACACTGAATGAAGTGCCCAACTGGGAGGCAGAAAGACCTGGGTTCCATCTTTTCTTTGTCACTTACCATCTGTGCGACCCTGAGAAAACAAAACACCAGGATACCATGAACTAGAAACTGGAATGTAGGGTCCAATCATTATTCTATAAAGTGGATTTCTGGGACTGCATACTGCTTTTATTCACATGTCTCCCCTCTCATGATTCCCACTCCACCTCATATTTTCTGGAGGAGAGCTTAAGATAGCTGGGGTTCATGCCTTTGTCACCCACCACTTGGACTATTATGATAGCCTTCTAATTTGTCTCCCTGCTTCCAGTCTCTTCCCACATCGATCTATCCTCCATGCAGCTGCCATGTAACCTTCCCAAGGCAGGAGTGTGACAACAGGACTCCCCTGCTTAAGAACTTTCTGTGGCGGGGCAGGTAGGTGGCACAGTGGATAGAGCACCGACCCTGGATTCAGGAGGACCTGAGTTCAAATTCGGCCTCAGATACATAATAACACTTACTAGCTGTGTGACCCTGGGCAAGTCACTTAACCGTATTGCCTAGCCAAAAAGAAAAAAAGAAAAAAAGAACCTTCTGTGGCTCCTTATTATTCAGACCAAATATTCCCCAGTCGACATCTAAAGCCCTTTGAAATATGACTCTAGGTAATTTTCCTGTAATTTCTGCTAACATGGAAGCTGAGGCTGGGAATTCTGAGATCTCTTTGGCTAAAGCCAGACATTTGACTCACATTATTTCATTTGATCTTCTCAATAACTCCACAAAGTCAGTGCTATTATTATCCACATAAGGAAACAGGCTGAGATCAGTGACTTGACTTTTATTTTGTTTTGGGGAAGGGCTGAGGTGGGGGGAGAGGAAGGGATCTACTAAGTGAACTGGAGCCAGTTGGGGTTCATTCGTGTACCATTAGTCTTCTTTACTGCTCTTTGCCGTAATCTGGACTGACCACCTCTCTCCTCTTTTCAAGAATCTTCAGCAGCTCCCTACTGTCTCTAGAATAAATGCACGTGGCTACGTTTGGCATTTAAGACCCTCACATTCTGACTCCAGCCTACCTTGAAAAAGTGAAGTAAAGCCTGTAGTCATCATTTCTGCCTTTCACTCCTATGGTTCATCCAGACTGGCTACCTGCTGGTCTACAAACAGCAGTCTTATCTCCCACCTCCGTGCCTCTTCATGAGCTGTCCCCGGTAACTAAAGTGCGCTTCCTCCTCACCTCTACATCTTGGAATCTGTAACCTCCTTGCAAGGCTCAGCTAAGCTTCTGCTGCCCATTGGGTAACTAAAGTGCGCTTCCTCCTCACCTCTACATCTTGGAATCTGTAACCTCCTTGCAAGGCTCAGCTAAGCTTCTGCTGCCCATTGGATGCCTTTCTTGATCAGTCAAATGGTGAGTCTTTATTAAATGCTTCCTATATGATCTACCCGCTGGTTAGGGCTTTACTCTTTCTTCCAGCTACTTTGTATCTGCTCTATTTGCCTAACATATCCCCTCAGTGGAACTCAACTGCCCGGCTGCCTCAGGGTCCTGCAGATAACAGGAACTTATTCAATACTCATTTAATTGAATTGACCCAGTCCAGTCCCCTTTAACAGCCTTCTCAGAAGGGATGACTCCAGCTGTGGAGTCAGTAATTCAGAAGAGGAACTGGGCTTGTGATTTCATTCATTATGCAGGGGCATGCTGGAGTTAGCCAAGAGACTTTTAAGAGCCAAAATTTTCAGTGCAATCATTTATACCTGAGAAATACAAATGCTACAAATCAGGGCTTGTGGTGTGTGTGTGTGTGTGTGTGTGTGTGTGTGTGTGTGTGTGTGTGTTCTTGCATCTGCAGGCATGGTTGTTGATTGTGTAGACATAAGAAAGCAAAGGAGAAAATGTCAATGCAGATTCAATGTAGTGTGTCATGCCTACTGAGGCAGGGGGACACAGTTGTTAAACATTTACCATCATGTCCCTTGATAGAGGGGACTCTGAGATGAAGATACCCTCTCCAAAGCAGGTTGTCACCTTCTTTGTAACTTAGAGCAGCGCCTAGAGAACTGAGAGGCTGAATTACCTCCCAGAGTAACAGGGCCAGTGTATGTCTGAGGCAGGTCTGGAACCCTCGTCTTCTTGGCTCTGAGAGTGGCTTGCTGTCCACTATTTCCCTAGGCATTATGAGGACAAAAATAAACAAACAAAAAAACCACTTTGGGCCCCAGAAGTGAATTTGACCATCATTGGATAACGCTGTTTTTCTTTGTAGCTAAAACTCATTCGTGGGTTGTTTTTGTTTTTTTAATCCCAAATCGGTGGCTGAAGTGGGGTTTCTTGGCTGGGGACTTGGTGCCAGAGACTGCCCGCCAAAATGGGAGCAATGCTACTACTGTGTTGTCTTGCCTTTTAAGGAGCCAAAAGCCCTCTGAGTCCACCGGGAAAACCCAGCCAGCTCCCCCCAGCCCTCCCCACTTTTCTCTGTCACCCATCCTCTTCCTCTATGGGCTTCCTCCTGGGTTATTTGAGTCCCTGAGAGAAGTTAAACCAATTACCTGGGAACATTCATCATTGGTGAGTGATCAATGCCTGGCCAATGGGATGTTGCTGGAAAACTGACATGATTTCGAGCTCCTGAGGAGGGGCTGGGGATGCAGAGGCAAACAAGATGGCAATGCACAAGACAGAGGTTCAGAAACTAAGGAAGAGAAATGATAACCAAGGGCCTCTGGCCACAGGAGAGGATAAAGAGAGAGGGAAAAGCAAACAGAGGTCACAAAGTACTAAAAGGGGGGGGGGAAGAAAAAGAGAAAGATTTTTATGTTTTGGTGGCAAAAAAAAAGCAAAAGTAAGACAGTGGTGTGGGGAGAGAGGTATAAATGAAAAATTGGCACTTTGGCCCCATTTCCTTAAGCGGGAAGTAAATAAGGTTTTTTTAAAAATGTCATGAGATGGGAAATCATTCAGAGCGTGCCCAGTGCACATCTAGAGGGGGGAAACTTAAAGGGGTTTTCTTACAATCATCAAGAGGCCCCAGCAATGTGGCAGACCGAGCAGGTAGAACACTAGGCCAAGAACATGAAGATCTGGGTTCAAATCCTGCCTAGAAGCCATTTACTGGAAGCCAAATTGTGGGCAGGTTATTTAACTTCTGGCTGTCTCAGACAACTCCCTGGGCTCATCTCCTTAGCCACAGAAGTTGGAGGAGAAAGCCTCATTACACCATTTCTGAAGCTACAGCATCAGTCAGAGATGGGAGAGGAGGAAGCCAGGTGAGATGGTGGAAAGAATAGTAGAGTCAGAAAGACTGGGATCAAATCCTACCTTTAACACTGACTCCCTGCATGACCTTGAGCATGTCAATGCATCTCCCTAGGTTCCAGGGGTGGGACTAGATGTCTTCTAAGAGCCCTCTCAACTCGAAATCTATGGTTCCACAATCCTATCCATAAAAATGTAGAAATATCACTTCTCCTTTCTGGGTCTAAGTTTCCTCATCTATAAAATCAGGGGGGGCCATAGTGCACAGAGCCTCGGGACTGATGCCAGGAAGACTCATCTTCCTGAGTTCAAATCTAGCCTCAGACAAATGTGACCCTGGACAAATCACTTAACTCTGTTTGCCTCAGTGTCCTCATTATAAAATGAGCTGGAGAAGGAAATGGAAAAATACTCCAGTATCTTTGCCAAGAAACACAAAGATCTGGACATGACTGAACAACAACTGAACAACAACAAAAAATCAGGAGATTCGATTAGGTGATTGCTGAGGTTTCTTTTATTGAGGTTTATTTTTATGAGGTTTCCCTGTATCAAGAGGAATCCAATAATAGCTAATAATAATAATAATAGCTAAAATTTATATAGTGCTTACTATGCTAAACACTTTTTAATATTATTTCATTTGATCCCGACAACATCCCTACAAAGTAGGTGCTATTATTATCTCCATTTTACAGATGAGGAAACTGATGCAGAGATTAAGTGACTTGCCCAGGATCACACAGCTAGTAAGTGTCTGAGGCTGGATTTGAACTTAGGTCCTCCTGACTCCACAGTGCTATCCACAGCACCACCTTGCTCATCCAAGGAAATATAAACTCAAATTCAAAGGAAATATAAATTCAACACACCTCCGTCCAATAAATAAACCCACCAAGATATAAAGAGACACAATACACATCTATCTAAAGCTGAGGTTCTTACCCTTTTTTTGTGGCATGGCCCCTTTGGCAGTCTGATAAATCTCAGAGACCCTTTTCTGAACAATATTTTTAAATAATCAAAGGGGATATTAAATTTCAGGTAAAGATTACTGAAAATAAAGATGTAATTCCTTTTCCCATCCATGTTCACAGACCCCTGGCAACTTATCCATGGAGCCCTGATTAAGAACCCCTTCTCTGTAGTGTTAACCAACAGAACCTAAACCTGGATCCAGAATGAAGATTTAATTCATTGGCTGATTGAGTTGGCCTTTGTGAGAAATGCCCAGCCAAATGTCTTCCCTGCTCAGTACCTGTAATTTTGTCCATAACATAATCCAAGACAAAGAAATGCCATGGTCTTTGCAATTTCATCTAGCCAGGCAACTCCTCTCAACCTGGTCGGTGGTTCTACATTACCCATTGATTGACAAATGGCTACTTTTTCCAAATTGTGCCACAAGACAATGTGCTTTCAGTTGGATGAACAGAGATCACACCATGAGCCTCCAAAGAGGTTGAGGGGATAAGGGACGGAATGAGGAGATGTTAAGGGGTCTGTGTGTGTGTGTGTGTGTGTGTGTGTGTGTGTGTGTGTGTGTCTGTGTGTGTGATAAGTCAAGTACAAAGGGGAAAAATATTGGAATCATTTGTATTTTTTTTCTCTTTTATTCCAAACACGAATTTTTGTAAACTTGGCATTTCCAAAACAGTGCAAGTGAATTCGAAAAGAAGTGACCATAGAAATGCAAATACAGGCAGAATCAAGAGAGAGATGGGACTGTCCCTCCCAGCAACATTCAAGAGAGAAATTTACAGTTTATCTGTCCCTTAGTGAGGTTTAGAAAGTGAGGCATTGACAGTCAGCCCCCATCCATTAGGATTACAAAGCCTCCGTTCTTGATCACCAGGTCTTACTGCATCTTTACCAGCTTAGGAATTGGGCACCATTCCCCAAACCAACCAAAAACACAGAAGACATGCAATAATCAAACTGGGAATTACCATTCCTTTCTAAGTGATAGGGACAGCAAAAATTATTGCTTCTTTATCTTACACTTAACCAAGAATTCTTTTATTCATTCTTTAATGTGCATATTTTATATATTAATGTGAAACATTACTTTAAAAATACAAATACACCTTACACACTTGGAGCATTTTGAAAAACATCCTATTTTTCTGTCTACTGTTAAAGATTTTCCTCTATCCCTTCTGCCTCCCCCCAAAAAATCTTTCTTTATATAATGCCCTTCAAGTTAGGGAAGAGTTGAAACCTCATACATTTAACCTGATATCATTTTTATATTTAACACCACTCATCTACAAACAGTACTCAGCTCAGGCACCCTGTCTCACCAAGGCAAATCTAATAGAAGAGTTCCATTTGGGAGATATTGGCCTTGACATGGCCCCTCTGTTCATTCCTTTCCTGACTCAATGAAGACAGGTGCTGGAGGTTTCCCGGGAAGGATACTCCTCCTCACTTACCTCCTTGCCTCTAGCTCAGGTACCACCACCTGGTACAAACGTGATTTTCTATCGTATTCTCCACAGACTAGCTGTCCCTGGACCCTTGCTGAGGCTTAAAGGGGCTTCTGAAGGCCTGCCCACTGAGGTCTTTGGTGACCTACCTGGTGAGTAATGATGACCCCATGCCTTTTTACAGTAAAGCAGAAGGCAAGGCTTCCTGGGCAGCTCTTACTAATGTGCCCTTGTTTTCAAGGGCTTCCTGGGTGACTTTACACGAAGGGTCAAAATCTCACCCTACAGAACTCATTTCTCTTGGGGTCCAAGTCATGCCACAGGGAGTCAACCCCAAACAGGGAAGATTGCTTTTGCTACATTCTAAAACAAAAAGTCCTGTGTTCTGTAGCTAGTAAACATTTTATTCTCTCTGAAGGTCAATGAAAACCTCAGGTAAGACATTGGGAGGAAGGTGGAAGATAGGGCTACCAATGGGACTGGACCACAAGTATATTAGTGAAGTCAATAACCTTCCCTGGGGGCGAGAGAGAAGAAAACCCACAATGAACATTACTGAGAGCACAGGGAAACCAAACCTTCCTCATTCGACTCAATAACTCAATTCATCAAGCCTTAATTAAGCACCTACTATGTCCCAGGTACTGGGAATACAAAGACAAGAAAACCTCACCCCCTCCTGCCCTCAAAGGGCTTGCATTCTACTCATGGGCCCCAAACCACCAAGTAGGCTGAAGCTGGGGAAACCCCAGGTGTAGCTAAGCTCCTCTGAGAAGCTGCTGGGAGACATGTGAAGTGTCACCCTGATTTGAAGAAGGGGGCAGCAGGATATATGGAAAAGGATTCTGGTGGAACTGTGGGTGGGACCACCTGGCCTCTGAACTCCCCTCCCACTCTGAGGCATTTCTGAAAGTAGGCTGGACTTTTCAGTATCTGAGTGAGCCACAGCTTGTCATTACCTTCAGGCATCTTTTGCCTGGCATCTATATTTGCTTAGGGCAGACTGGCATGGCAGAAGACTTTATGCTTTGTTCTTGAGGTGAGCAGCCAGGAAAACCCAGGTTGGAATCTGTCTCTGACATTTACTTGCTGTGCGTCAGTGGGCAAGTTACAATCTCTCTGAGCCTCAGGTATTTCTCTGTAAGACTAAGTTACAGAAGAGCTGCAATCTGCATGGTGGGGGGATCAGCGCACTGATGAAACTGCAGAGCTGTGCAGTACTGATCTGTGGGAGTGAGTCCCGGTAAGGGGCCTTGGCACTCCTAACTGGAAGCCCTCACATTTCACTGCTTCTCCCATGTACAACAATGTAGAGTGTACTTCACGTGGAGTCCAATGCCGAGGTTTCAGATCCCAGCTCTATCCCTTCCTACCATGGGACATGGGACAAGTCCACTCATCTCACTGACCTTGCTTCCTTATCTGTGAAGTGAGAGGGTTGGACCTTGAAGGCCCCTTTTAGCTCTGCACCTAAGGTCCTAAGATTCCTCCAACTGAAACTGATTAGGGAATGTCAATCATGCTTCTTGGAGATAACGATCAGAACTGGACACATGATTTCATTGATATGGAAAACTTCCAAGTGAGGAAGCTCCCTGTACCAATACAGGGCAGCATCTTCTCTACAACTGAAAAGTCTCAAAGTATTGCCTCAAGGATTGAGAGTTTTTAGGACTTATCCGGGGTCAGTCAGCTATCACAAATCGGTCTTGAACTCAGGCCTTCCTGGCTGTAAGGGCACACTGCCTTCCTAATCAGTCCAAATGGGTCAATGTCTTGCATGGTAGTAGTGGGGAGTGAGGGATCTAAAAACATTTCTGGACAGAGGAGCTGATGTGTTTGTTACCATAAGCCAATAGATTCATACTTACTTATTTGTTAAAGAAAAATTCCAGAAGGAAGCAAATAAAAAGTTGTTCATGGGAAGCCCCCCTCCACAAGCCAGACTCCCCAGAGTGATACAGCAGGATACAGCACCCCAATCTCTCTGGGGAGACACCAGGGACAAAGTCTTCCAGCTGCACAAAGCATTTCCCTGCTCGTGGTTTGATCCAAACATAATCCCCTCCAAACAGGCCAAAGACTGGTGATGAAATATCCTTGTGGCCTTCATGGCCAGGGGAATTCCACTTACTCTGTCACTCCCAGTGTCCCCATCATCTGCTCTGATGTAAGGAAAGGTGGAATAAATGATTCTTCTATGACAACATACATTTAATCTCAGTGGCATGGAGGACAAAACAGTTTTAAAAATCAGATGCAAAGAGAGAGCTGCTAGGCTGAGATGCAGAGACGTCAGACTTACTTTGTAACAGCCTGGAGCAGCTTCTTCCTTTGTCCTCAAAAAACCCGAGGGAAGCCTCAAACTTTAGAGGGAAGCTCACAAACTCATCACAGGCGTAAGGCTTCAAACCGGAAGGGCCTCAGTGAGGTTATTACTCAACTCGCATCAGACACTGCCTGCGTCCAGCTGGGCACACGGAGCTCTCTTTCCGTTATAGGGCTGGAGGAAAACAAAGTCGGCCATAACTCCTTGTACCTGGATCTGCTCAAACCGAGCCCGCGGTACACTTCGAAAAAGATGGCTCTGATGGTGAGATTCCAGCAGCTCTACATCTGAGACAAAGCCTTCTCACAGAAAACAGCTCTGGGTTTCAAATATAGCAGCAGAATGCTTCTTATGTCAAACCCTTCCAAAGGAGAAGCCTTGACAATGAGGGCAAAGCTGTCTCCCTGGTATCTGCGGCATCTCTTATGCCTTCGTGGTGCCTGACGGTCTGCTTTTACTGTGAGGTCAGACTTCCAGGGCTGGCTTCCTGGGAAGCTTGGGCATGAAGCTGTAAAGAGCTGAAGAAGAGGAAGAAGGCAAGTCTCTGTTTGTGAATGGGGGTGGCAGCCAGGGCCCCACCCCCAGCTTGAGGTGTCCCAGACGGCCCTGGCGACGGACGGAGCTCACTGGCCCTGAAGGTTTGGGTGTGGCGTCTCAGTGACACAGATGAGACCCAGGGCAAGGATTTCGGCCAAACTCGTGGAAGGCATGAGGCCTCTCTACCATGCTCCTGATCCAGTCCTCCCACAGAAGTGAGATTCTCCACCAAATGAAGGCAAGGCAGGTGGGGGCCCCAGTGGCTGGGTCCTGCTCTTCCCCCTTCTGGAGGTGACAGATCTCTTTGAAAGAAGAGCACTGGTGAAAAGCCCTCGAGCTTCCATTCACACCTAACTTACACTGAGACTGCAATGAGAGAAATGCAGAGGCTGCAGTGTGTCACAGCCACACACAGCTGACACAGCCACTGTATGTGGCGCCACCCTATGCCGCCTGCACGTGGCAATGCCAGCCCTGTTGTTTTTCCATGAGAGGCAATAAAAATTTCCTTTAGCTCATTTCAGCTGCAAGTCTGTTGGGCAGTAAGTTCAAACATACCATAGGTTTTTAAAATATATTTATATATATATATATATATACACACACATATATATGTATTTCCCAGGTTTCAGCCATAAATCAGTGCTTGAGTGAACTATATAGCTATTTAGTAGAAATAATAAAACATTGATACAAATATAAAGACATAATCAGTATAAAAGGCTTGTATTTATAAAAAATACTTCTAGGCAACAGTCTTCCCCTGAGGGTTTACCACATACGTTGGACTCATAAATATTGCTCAGCACACAGCTTGCTCTCTGGAGTTCATAATTCACCCGTTCCAGCCTTGGTGCGCTGCTCGGGTCACGTGCCAGCGCTGCAGGGGTGGCCTCGGGATCTGCTCCCTTGCATGGTAGAATGAGGAACAAGACTGCATCGACGGGCCTCCGAAAAATCTGGAGAAGATTCCTTCTTCCACATATGGAAGATACAAAGAACAGGGACAACGGGCAAGCAGGCGTGGCGGCACGTGACCGGCGGGCAGGCTGCATGGCGCCTCACTGGCTTTTCTGGACCCAGTCCCAACTGTCTTCATTCTCTTTTCGGTTTTTCTCAGCTTCAATAATTTCTTTGTACCTTCTGCGAAAGAAGCCCATCTAAAGAGGAGAAGAGAAAGAGTAGAAGCTGGTTAGATCCTCTGGAATGGGAAGCCATGGTGATGCCAATGCTGCCAAAGCCAAGTCGAGGCTAGCCTTCCTTAGAGCCATACCGCTAAGCCATCTGACACATCTGTACACACAAAAAGCATTTGTTCATCATTTCATTAGACAGACATCTCCTCAAACTACTAGAGAGGCAGTGGGACATCGTAAGTAGAGCACTGGAGCCAGATTCAGGAAGAAACGGGTTCAAGTCTTGCCTCAGACACTCACCAGGTGTATGACCCTGGGCAAGTCACTTAAACTTTCTGAGTCTCAGTTGCCTCATCTGTAAAATAAGGGGTTTGGGCTCCATGACCACTAAAGCCCCTTCTGGCTTTAAATCTCTAATCCTCTGATTGGATGAAATGCATAACAAAAGGCATTTTTTCAAATCCCATTTCCCAGAACCAGCGCAGGCACCTCTCACTCAATGGGGCCCTTTCAAACTCTTTGAGGTCCACTCCACTCACCTTTGAATCAACTGTTTCCATGCTCCCAAGTAAACATTCTGAAGACTTTTCATGCCCTATGTACAGTCCAACCTTACTAACCTTTCGTTTGTTTTTTAATTACGCTGTGATGGCCACAGTTGGAAGTGGTCATGAAGAAATGGATTTTTATTCTTTGGAGACTCTTATACTCACCTTCCTGCAAGAGCTCTCATTTAGATAGGGCCTTAATGATCTAAATAAGGATGGTCATCCCCTGCCTTGTTATAGAGCCTTCTCCGGGTCCCTTTCCAAGCCCCACCCCACCCAGCTACCAAAACAATTTTCCCAAAGACCAAATCTGACCAGGCCACCACATCAGCGGCTCCCTCGTGCCTTCAGAATGAAGTAGCGACTTCTCAGCCTGACACTGAAGGGCCGCCATGTTCTGACCCCTACCTACCTTTCCAACCTTAGGTCATACTCTTCCCCTTCAGAATGTTCCATTCCAGCCAAAATGGAGCACCAGCCACTCCCTAAACTAGAAACTCCTGTGATTCCTCTCAGAACTGGCACACACCACTTGCCGTGCTGGCATACGCTCCCCTCCCCATGTCTGCCTCTCAGAAATCTGGCTCATTTATAAGCTCAGCTCAGCCTCCACCTCTTCTCCCAAGTCTTCCTTGAGCTGCCCGGCTGTTAATACTCTCTGTGTGACCTCTCAATCTTCCCCGTACTAAACTCAGCTGTGTATCTGCCGTGTTCTTCCTCCATCCCCCAGAAGGCTGGAAGCTGCTTGGATTCATGGACTACTGGCTTTGGTCCTTCTACAAATCCTTAGTGCCTGGGACAGAGGAAGTGCTTAATAAATGGTTGCTGACTGACTACTTGAGGTTGTTTCTTTGTACCTCCACTGGCTTGAACTTAATGCATATTTAATTAATGTCTGTTGAATTCAATTGAATTGAAAATGAAAGGCACTAAAATGTCCATACTCTGACCCAGAAGGCCTACTGCCAAAGACAGAAAGAAAGGCTCCACGTCTACCAAAATATTTACGATGGTTTTTTTGTAGTAGCAAGAGGTACACTAAGGAGATGTCCAGCAGGCAGAGAATGGATAAGCCAGTTGTGGGATCCCAATATGGCAGCCTAGCACGGTGCCCTAAGAAACAGTAAAGACAAAGAAGAAAGAAGCTGGGAAGCCTGAGGAGACGTGCTCCAGAAAACAACATGCACAAGATCAACAATTTTAATGGGAAGAACCACAACCCATTCAACCCGTTGAAAGAATCCTGCAAAAGTAGAGCGACCAAGCTGGACCTTAACCAAGAGACAAGACACTCTGAGTCACCTTCTGCCCTGGGGTCTAGGCCAGAGATTCCATGACCAGGAGGAAGGAGCCCAGACATTCCCCCTCCTCCCTGGCACCCTTCTCCCTGTCCAACCCCCAGATTTCCAGATTCTCTCCATGTTTTGTTTTTGACAATTAGAATATAAGGTCCTTAAAGTAGGGACTCTACATTTTGCTTGTATTTGTATCTCTGTTAACTATGTATATAATATAGCATTGTACCCCATTATTTATATGATCTAGTATCATAGTAAACAAGAAATAAATGCTTTATCTCTATAAGATGGTACCTCTCCTGCTTCTTTGCAGAGGTGGGGGGACAGCGGGTGTGGAATGCTGTATACACCTTCAGACTTTCATTGACAAGTTGGCTAGTTTTGCTCAACTACTTTGCTTAGCTCTTTTTTATTCTTTGGTACAAAGGATAGCTTTCAGAGGAAGGAAGGCAAATAGGATACACTTGGAAATATAGGTGATATAAAAAAACAAAAGACAGCAAAAGAAATTTATCTTAAATAGATAAAAAAAAAATGAAATTGAGAAACAAGAGGGCCTGACACCCGAGCTAGATATAGTCACAAGCTGTGGCTAGTTACAAGCCAGTTAGAGCTGGTCTGTGCTTGCCTGTTTCCCATTGTGTGAGTGTGGGACAAGTCATCTAGAGCTTCTGAGCCTCCATTTTCTCATCTGTGAAATGGGGACAAATGTATCACAAGTGTTTATCTCACAGGGCTATTGTGAGACAGACGCCTTGTAGGGGCAGCATGGCATGATAGAAAGAGTGCTGAACTTGGAATTGAGGGCCTGTGTCCTGCCACCACCTATCTGTGTGACCCTGGGCAAGTCACGTTACCTCTTTGGGCCTGTTTCCAGGTCTGTAAAATGACAGAATTGGTTAAAAGGTCACTCTGAGCTCTAGAGCTATGATCCCACAATCCTAAGCCACAATATTGTCATAAACAAGAGATGCTAATATCCCTCCCATCAGCAACATAACATTAATAGGAATGATAGCTAACATTTATAAAGCACTTGCAGGCTTGCCAAATTCTTCACACACATCATCTCATTTGATGGATTGCGAAAGCACGTGTTCTCCTTAGCCACAAATGACAGGCACTGGGATTTCTCTCCAACATTTAGGGGCACAAGCAGCCAATTACTTAAGGCTTGGAACAAACAGCATTAAGCTGGTTGTCTGATGAGCCAATCCCTCCCTGCTACTTTACAGAGAAGAGATGAGGCTGCCTGCTCCCTCCCTTCTCCCATCCATCAGACCAGAAGGGTTCAGATTGGGCAAGCTCTCTGCTCATTGGTTGGCTCTCCCATGCCCCCTCCCCACAAACACAAGCAGAGATGCCCACAGGAGCATGCAGCTCACCATCTGAGTTTGAAAAGCCAAACAAACATGCCAAAGGGAAAGACATCAGCATTTAGAGGGCAGTAGATTTTTGGTTTTTTACTCTACAAAACTAATCAGATTTTAAGAACGGTTTTTGTTTATGGGAAAAGAAACCAGGTGAGCCCAGGAGGGAGAGAAAAGCCTCGAGGAAGAAAAGCAGAAAGAGAACGAATGAGGTTGGGGGAAATGAGGCTTCTCAACATAGAAACCAAAGGTGTCTTCAGGGGGTCAAGGGAGAATGAGGAGCAGCATATGGCAGACAGACGCAGCCCACTAAGGGAATAGAGTCACCTCTGATACCTCATACTGTTTCATGGGAAAGTGGGCACCTGGGAAGGTGGTCTTCTAATCAGGCAACACAGCCTGGGAAAAGCAGACATTTAAAGAAGGTCTTCCCAGAAGGGACACACCCACCTGCCAGGCCCTCTGCTCCTGAATGGAAGGTAGCTGATCTTCCACGTGCCTTTTGATTCTTCCAAGCAGATCATGGCCATGCTCTATCCTACAAAGAGACCTGCCCCGGAGCTAATCCACCCTGACCATCTCAAACCCACCTCTAACCTGGGCTCTAATGTGGAAGCTGAAGGATGACATTGGGAGCTCTGAAATAATTCAGAAAATCAAGGTCACCCCTGGAGGTGTTCGGTGGGTTGGCTTTTTAAGGCTTTCCAAAAGCTGGCAAAAGACTAGGGAGCACACAGTACAAAGGAAAAGGAAATAGAATTCTAAATACAAGGACCCACGTTCAAATCTCAGCTCATTTACTGCCCACGTGACTTTGGCCAAGCCACTGGCTTCTCTGGGCCTCAACTGTTCATCTATAAAATGAAGGGCTTGGAATCAGTGCACTCTGAGGTCCCTCACAGCTACAAATCCACAAGCTGATGACAGAAAACATGTAGCCAAGCCATGCTGGTTTGTAGCCCACTGAAATATCCTTGGATCAGAAACAGAATAATCACACGACGACGAGAGTTAGGCAGGAACAAAGACAATTAGCCTCATGAAAATTATGAGGTAGCTAGAAGTACGGAGCATGGATCCCAGAGCCAGGGAGACCCAAGTTCAAATCTGGCCTCTGACACTTAGTCGTGTGACCCTGGGCAAGTCACTTACTCTGTTTGCCTCAGTTTCCTCATCTACAAAATGGGGATAATAATAGCGCCTAACTCACAGAGTTGTTCTGAGGGTAAGATGGGAGAACATTTGTCAAGCACATTGCAAAAACCTTAAAGTGCTATATAAACGACAGTTATTATTAAGCAGTAGAACAACAGCACAGATGGGATCACAGCCCTCTCCTGCTCCCCGAGTTCCAATGGTTCCCTATGGCCTCTGGGGTAAAATACAAACCTCCTGTGCTTGGCACAGAAAGCCCTTTTCAAGACTCACAGCATGTCACTTCCCACTTCTGCTCCAGACGAGCAAATCCATTTATCTCTACACACAGCATCCATCTCCCATCACCAGGCTTTTGTATGGGCAGCTCCCTCCATCTGGCATGCACTCCTCCTCCAAGGCTGCTCAGCATCTACTCTTGTTTATAAATGTAAATAGATGTGTGTGTGTGTGTGTGTGTGTGTGTGTGTGTGTGTGTGGTGGGGATGTAATGTATGTAGCGTCTCCCACGTTAGAATTCAAGCTCCTGAGGGCAGGAGCTGTATTTCTGTTGTTCTTTGTAACCCTAGTATTTGGCACCATACCTCACCTGTAGTAAGTATTTACTGTTTACTGAATAAGTGATTAATTCCCTTCTCTCCTCCATCTCTTAG